CCGAGGACCCCCCGGGCTGTGGTGGGGGCGGGGGGGGGAGGGGGTGAAACCCTTGGAAAAACTCTTGGAAAAGCCGCTCCTCGCCCCTTTTTGCGGCGCGGGGGAAGAGCCCGCGGGGCCCGAGCGCGGCCGCGGCCGCTCCCTGAGCTCGGGGCGGGTCTGAGTCACCCCCCCCTCGGGCCCCCCCCTTCCCCCTCCTCCCCCGGGCCCCCCCTTCCCCCCGGAGCCCCCGCCCAGCCCTGAGTCACAAACCTGTTCGGCCGCCGCCGAGAGGAGCCTTCCAGAGGCTTCCGCGGCCGGATCGGGCCCCCCTGGAGACACCCGTGGGGTGGGGGGAGGCGGGGTGGGACCCCCCCTTCCTCACCCCCAAGGTCAGATCGGGCTGCCCCCCCCCCCGCCTTCACCCAAAGCCCCCCCTCGAGACCACCCAGTGTCACCCGGAGCTTCCCAGGGGTGGAGGTGCCACCCCCCCCTCCCCCATCCAGTTGGGGTGTCTGGAGACCCCCCGGGACCACCCCCCACCTCCTGGAGCTCCACGGGGGGGGGGGAGATGCCACCCCCCCCCGCAGCCCCTGACAGAGCTTGGGGACCCCCGTGGTGACACTCAGAGGGTCCTTTATGGCCACTGTCCCCCCCGTGCTGGCACTTGGGGACCCCCGTGGTGACACTCAGAGGGTCCCTCTGCCCCCAGGACCTGCCCACCCCAGGGTTGTCCCTCCCCGTGTCCCCCCCCCACCCCAGGGTTGTCCCTCCCCGTGTCCCCCCCCCTCACTGGACAGGGTCCCCCGTCACCTCCTCGGCACCAGGGACACCTCGGTGGCTCCGTGGCCACCAGGACCCCTGAGTTGGCCATTCCACACCCCCCCAGCTTGGGGGTCCCTGGTGGGGGTCCGTGTAGGGGGGCAGCTCCTCCCGGGGTCGGGGACCCCCCCCAATCTTCCGCTGAGCTCCGTGTGGGGTCCCCCCCCCCCCCCCGACCCGGTGACAGCGGCCCCACCCCCCACCCCCCCCCGTGGTGTCCCAACATCCAGGTGGTTAAAAAATCAGGAACCCCCTGGAGAACGACCCCACCCCCCCCCCGGGGGGTCCTCAGTCTCCCCAAATTGGGGGAGGGGGCGGGGGCTCCATCCCCAGTGACCTTCCCGGCCATCCTGGCGTTGTGTCCCCCCCCCCCCAGACCCTCGACTGGGGGTTGGGGACCGGGTGGCCCCCAAGGGGTCCCATCCCACCTTTCCCGGTTTGTGGAGCTGGAAAACGCCCCCTTGGTGGTTTGGGGGTTCTTTGGGGGCGGGGAAATAACAACAACCCTCCCCCCCCCTTCCCAAAATTCCCCCCCCAATCCCCTTCGGGGCTGGTGGGAATGGGACGCTCTGGGAGGTGGTTTTGGGGGGTCCGGGCGAGGCCTGGGCGGTGACGGCTCCAACCCCAAACCAGCTGGAGATCCCAACCCTCTCCCGGAATTCCCGGTGGGATTGAGGAACCGGGACTGGGACGAGGTGGGTTTTCCCGGGGGGCTCCGGTCCAGGCCGGCGGTGACCTCCTGGGGCAGGGCCTGGCCCACATCCCCAAGTCCCAGATCCACAAGGATCAGGCTCATCCCGCCCTTTCCCTTCGTGACTGCGACGGGAGGAGGGTTTACTCCTGATTTCTGTCTCATCCCAGCCCAAAATTCCCTAAAAACGGAGAAATCCCCTCAAAACATCCGTAGGTGCCCGAGGAGTTGACCCTGGGGGGGGTTCAGCGCCCGAGGTGACGCAGGGGACAGGGGACAGGGGACATTCCAACGCCAGCCCCGCTCCGTCCTTCCCGACCACCCCGCCCTGGAACTCCTTTAATTCCCACAAAACAGCGGAAACGTGGATTCCCGGGCAGGCAAAGCTGCTCCTGGGGCCGAGCTGGCCCAGAGGGGCCTTCAGGGCAGGGGGGACGTGGGGACAGCGAGTCCCTGCCCCCGGAGCTCCCGCCTCGCACCCTGGAGCCGGATCCGGATCCGTCCCATCCGGAGGTTTTGGGGGAAGGAAGAGGGATCTGGGGGGGGAAGAGATGGAGCTTCACTGACCCCCCCCCGCTGTCCCCTCCAGGCTGGGAAGGTGACACAGGAACCGCCGCGAGGTCCGACGGGCGAGGGCAGAGGATTCCTGGGGCGGATCCGGGCGGGACCTTCCTCCCGACAAGGTCAGTGGGGCCGCCCGGGGCTCTCCCTCCTCCTCCTCCTCCTCCTCCCCGACCCCTCCGTGGTGTCCCTGCCCCTCACCCCATCCCCGATCCCGGCTGCAGATGGAGAAGGAGGAGGAGACGCGGGAGATCCTGCTGCCCAACTGGCAGGGCAGCGGCTCCCACGGCATCACCATCGACCAGACCGACGACGGCGTCTTCGTCAAGCGCGTCCAGCAGAACTCCCCCGCCGCCCGCATGGGCGTCGTCAAGGAAGGTGGGGCCTGGGAGGGGTCTGGGGGGACAAACTGAGGGGGTTCGGGGCTGTTTGATCACTCCTGGTGGTGCAGGGGCTCCTCCCCGAGGGTTTTTTGGGGGAAAAACGGGGGCTTTGGGGCTGTTTTATCCCTCCTGATGGCACCTTGGGTGGCTCCTCTTCTGTCCTTGTGGGCGATGACCCCACTGTCACTCCTGGTGGGGTCAGGGGCTCCTCCCCGAGGGTTTTTTGGGTGTAAAAACCAGATCTTTGGGGCTGTTTATTCATCCTGGTGGCACCTCAAGCACTTCCCCCTCCACCCTCATGGGCGATGACCCCATGGCCGCTCCTGGTGGGGACGAGGGGGCTCCTCCCTCCCTCCCTCCCTCCCAAATCTCTCGCCCCTCTGCTCAGCCCCATCCCCACAGGGTGGGCACCGGGATGGTGGCACCGTGCCAGGGGAGTTCTGGGGGGGGAAAAACCGGGATATTTTGGGGCTGTTTGTCCATCCTGGTGGCACCTGGGGTGCTTCCCCCTCCACCCTCCTGGGCACTGACCCCATGGTGACTCCCGGTGGGGACAAGGGGGCTCCTCTCTGAGGGTTTTGGGGTTAAAAATGGGGTCTTTGGGGTTGTTGATCCATCCTGGTGGGCCCTTGGGCGGTTCCTCCGTCACCCTCGCGGGCGATGACCCCACGGCCACCCCCAGCGGGGACGAGGGGGCTCCTCCCTCCGTCTCCCCCCCCCTGACCCGCCCGTGCCCGCAGGGGATCAGATTGTGAGTGCCACCGTCTACTTCGACAACCTGCAGTCCGGGGAGGTGGCGCAGCTGCTGCAGACCATGGGCCACCACACCGTGGGACTGCGGCTGCAGCGCCGTGGCGACCGCTCCCCCCTGCCCGGCCAGCCCTGGGCGCACGACGCGTTCGCCGCCGGCAGCCCCGAGGTCGTGCTGGTGAGTGCCGGGCGCTGGGGACGGCGGTGGTTGTGGGTGGTGGTTGTGGTGGTGGTTGTGGTGGTGGTTGTTGTGGTGGTGGTGTGGTGGTGGTGGTTGTGGTGGTGGTTGTGGTGGTGGTGGTTGTGGTGGTGGTGGTTGTGGTGGTGGTGGTTGTGGTGGTGGTGTGGTGGTGGTGGGGGTGGTGGTGGTTGGTTGTGGTGGGGTGGTTGTGGTGGTGGTTGTGGTGGTGGTGGTTTTGGTGGTGGTGGTTGTGGTGGTGGTGGTTGTGGTGGTGGTGGTGGTGGTGGTGGTTGTGGTGGTGGTTGTGGTGGTGGTGGTTGTGGTGGTGGTGGTTGCGGTGGTGGTGGTTGTGGTGGTGGTTGTGGTGGTGGTTGTGGTGGTGGTGGTGGTGGTGGTGGTGGTTGTGGTGGTGGTGGTTGTGGTGGTGGTGGTTGTGGTGGTGGTGGTTGTGGTGGTGGTTGTGGTGGTTGTGGTGGTGGTTGTGGTGGTGGTGGTTGTGGTGGTGGTTGTGGTGGTGGTGGTTGTGGTGGTGGTGGTTGTGGTGGTGGTTGTGGTGGTTGTGGAGGGAAGGAAAGCGGTCCAGGTGCCGACCCGGGGTTGTCTCGGTTGCAGAGCGGAGATGACGAGGAGTACAGGAGGATTTACACCACCAAGATCAAGCCCCGGCTGAAGTCGGAGGAAGGGGCGGACGCCGAGGGCGGGGGGACGCAGAGCAGGACCATCACGGTCACCAGGAAGGTCACGGCCTACACCGTGGACGTCAGCCGGCACGGCGGCGCCGGCGACCTCAGCGCCGCGGGGACCGACCTCGACATCCGAGTCCCGAGCCCGGGACTCGCCCTCGGCGCCGACGGAGAGCCCGGGAAAACCCGGCTGCCAACGGGAGAGCTGAGGACTCAGCCAGAGAGCCAAATTCCTGGTGGAGAAACTGGAAAAGCCGTCCCCCTGGAGATGCCGGCGGGCTGGAAAGGCTCCGGTGCCTTCCCGGGGTCACCCAGGGTTGAAACCAACGGACAGATGGGAGAGCTGGAGGTGGGATTCCACGTCAAGGGGCCCAGGGTGGACGGGAAAGGACAAACCCTGTGTCTCCAGGGAGAGGTCGACGGCTCTCCGCCGCCCGTGGACGTGGGGAAGATCAAGATTCCCGCATTAAAAATCCCCAAATTCGGGTTCCAGGCTGGCGGCGGCGAAGCTCCGGTCCCCCCGGCGGGCACCGACACCAACATCACCTGCTCACCTGTCCAGGTGACGGGCCCTGGGCTGTCACCCCCCTCAGCCACAGCCGGGAAGGTCCCCTCCCCTCAACTGGGCGTCCCCGGCGTCGGCATCGACGGCCCCGGCGCGGAGCTCACGGCTCACGGCGCCGACGGCGCCAAGGGGAAGGTCAAGATCCCGCACGTGACCTGCCCCAAATTCACCGCCCTGGACTCGCGGGGGGACGGCCCCGCCCTGGAAATCGGGGTCCCCAAGGGCGAGGCGGCCGTCGAAGGAGGGTGGAAAGGCCCCGCCTTCAAGAAGGTGGAGACGCCCCAAATCTCCCTGTCCGACGTGAACTTGAGCCTGAAAGGCCCCCAGGCCAAGGGGGACCTGGGGGGGGTCACCGGCCCCAAGGTGGGGGGGGACCTCCCGGGACTCGGCCCCAAGGGGCTCCAGGTGGACGTGAAGGCGCCCGAGGTGGAATTCGGGGGTCGCGTGAAGGGCCCCAACGTGGACGTCGGCGCGAAGGGGCCGAAGGGGGAGGTGGACGTTTCCATCCCGACCGTGGGCGGCGACTTCAAAGGGCCCCAACTGGAGCTTAAAGGCCCCGCGGGGAAGACGCCGGAGCTGCACGTCCAGACCCCCCAGATCTCGATGCCCGACGTCGACCTGAACCTCAAAGGTCCCGGAGTGAAAGGAAATCTGGACGTTTCCAAGCTGGAAGGGGAGCTGAAAGCCCCCGGGCTCGACATCAAAGGCCCCAGAGTTGACGTTGGGAGCCCAGAGCTGGACGTCCAAGGTCCTGAGGGCAAACTGAAGTTCCCCAAGCTGAAAATGCCCAAATTTGGGGTGAAGGGAGAGACCCCCAACGTCGAGGTGACTCTTCCCAAGGGGGAGGTGGACATTTCTGGCCCCAAAGTGGACATTTCTGCCCCCAAAATGGACATTTCTGGCCCCAAGGTTGACCTGAAGGGCCCCAAGGTGGACGTTTCTGGCCCCAAGGTGGACGTCGATGTCCCGAGCGTGGACATCAAGGGTCCCAAAGTTGACATCGAGGCCCCTGACGTGGACATTCACGGCCCAGAGGGGAAGTTCAAGATGCCCAAGTTCAAGATGCCCAAGTTTGGGATGCCCGGGGTCAAGGCTGAAGGCCCCGAGGTGGACGTGACCCTGCCCAAGGGGGGCGTTGATGTTTCCCTGCCAAGCGTGGACATCCAGGGGCCCGAAGGCAAAGTGAAGGTGCCCGAGATGAACATCAAGGCCCCCAAGGTCTCCGTGCCCGACGTCGACCTGAACCTCAACGGTGCCAAGGTGAGGGGCGACCTCGACGCCTCCGTCCCCGCTTTGGAGGGGCCCCAACTGGAGCTCAAAGGCCCCAGAGTTGACGTCGGGAGCCCAGACCTGGATGTCCAAAGTCCCGAGGGCAAACTGAAGTTCCCCAAGCTGAAAATGCCCAAATTTGGGGCGAAGGGAGACACCCCCGAGGTCGAGGTGGCCCTTCCAAAGGGCAAAGCGGACGTTTCCTGTCCCGGCGTCGACGTGCCGAGCGTGGACATCCACGGGCCCGAGGGGAAGCTGAAGGGCCCCAAGGTGAAGGTGCCCGAGATGAGCATCAAGACCCCCCAGATCTCGATGCCCGACATCGACCTGAACCTCAAAGGTCCCAAAGTGAAGGGAGACCTGGATGTTTCCGCCCCCAAGCTGGAAGGGGAGCTGAAAGCCCCCGGGCTCGACATCAAAGGCCCCAGAGTCGACGTTGAAGTGCCCGACCTGGACGTCCAAGGTCCTGAGGGCAAACTGAAGTTCCCCAAGCTGAAAATGCCCAAATTTGGGGTGAAGGGAGAGACCCCCAACGTCGAGGTGACTCTTCCCAAGGGGGAGGTGGACATTTCTGCCCCCAAAGTGGACATTTCTGCCCCCAAAGTGGACATTTCTGGCCCCAAGGTTGACCTGAAGGGCCCCAAGGTGGACGTTTCTGGCCCCAAGGTGGACGTCGATGTCCCGAGCGTGGACATCGAAGGGCCAGAAGTGAAAGGAAAAGGTCTCAAGTTTAAAATGCCCGAACTGAACGTTCAGACCCCAAAACTGTCCATGCCAGACGTGGATCTGGGGTTGAAGGTCCCAAAACTGAAGGGGGACGTGGCAATTTCTGGCCCGAAGATCTCCGGGGATCTGAAGGGCCCCAAAATAGACGTGGAGGGTCCCAAGGTGGACGTGAAAGGCCCCAAAATAGACGTGAAAGGTCCCAAGGTGGATGTGGAAGTTCCCAGGATGGACGCGGAAGGTCCCAAAGTGGATGTTGAGATGCCGGAGGTGGACTTGGAATGCCCAGAAGGGAAGATAAAAGGCCCCAAATTTAAGATGCCGAAACTGAACATTAAGTCGCCCAAAATCTCGGTGCCGGACGTGGATTTGAACCTGAAGGGCCACAAAGTGAAGGGAGAGATGGACGTTTCCCTCCCGAAGGTAGAAGGTGAGGTCAAGGGGCCCAAAATCGACGTGGAGGTCCCGGACGCAAACCTGGAGGGTCCGGAGGCCAAACTGAAAATGCCCAAAATGAAACTGCCCCATTTCCACGTGTCCGGCCCCAAACTGGAGGGAGCCGAGGTCGATGTGAACCTGCCCAAAGCAGAGCTGGAGGTGGCTGGGCCGGAGGTGGACGTCGAGGGGCCGGAGGTGGACGTGGGAGGCGCGGAAGGCAAATGGAAAGGTCCCAAATTCCGGATGCCGAAGCTGAACATCAAAACGCCCAAAATCTCGATGCCGGACGTGGATTTGAACCTGAAGGGCCCCAAAGTGAAAGGAGAGGTGGATGTGGCAACTCCCAAGGTCGAAGGGGACTGGAAAGGGCCAGAAATGGAGGTGAAGGGGCCGAAGGTGGATGTTGAGGTGCCCAACCTGGACGTGGAGCTGCCCGAGGGGAAGGTGAAGGGCCCCAAGTTCAAGATGCCCGAGATGCACATCAAGGCCCAAAAGATCTCCTTGCCCGACGTGGACATCAACCTGAAGGGCCCCAAGGTGAAAGGAGACGTGGATGTGTCAGTGCCAAAGCTGGAAGGTGACCTGAAGGGCCCTGAACTGGACATCAAGGGCCCCAAGGTGGACATCGAGGCCCCTGACGTGGACATTCACGGCCCAGAGGGGAAGTTCAAGATGCCCAAGTTCAAGATGCCCAAGTTTGGGATGCCCGGGGTCAAGGCTGAAGGCCCCGAGGTGGACGTGGCCCTGCCGACAGGAAACCTGGATGTGTCCGGTCCCAAGGTGGACATTGAAGGTCCAGAGGTGGACATTGAAGGTCCTGAAGGAAAACTGAAGGGCCCCAAGTTCAAGATGCCCGAGATGCACTTTAAGACCCCCAAGATCTCGATGCCCGACATCGACCTGAACCTGAAGGGCCCCAAAGTGAAGGGAGACGTGGATGTGTCAGTGCCAAACCTGGAAGGTGACCGGAAGGGCCCTGAACTGGACATCAAGGGCCCCAAAGTTGACATTGATGCCCCCGATGTGGACATTCACGGCCCAGAGGGGAAGTTCAAGATGCCCAAGTTCAAGATGCCCAAGTTTGGGATGCCCGGGGTCAAGGCTGAAGGCCCCGAGGTGGACGTGACCCTGCCGACAGGAAACCTGGATGTGTCCGGTCCCAAGGTGGACATTGAAGGTCCAGAGGTGGACGTTGAGCTGCCCGAGGGGAAGGTGAAGGGCCCCAAGTTCAAGATGCCTGAGATGCATTTTAAGGCCCCCAAGATCTCGATGCCCGATGTCGACTTCAACGTGAAGGGCCCCAAGATCAAGGGTGATCTTGATGTGTCTGTTCCCAAACTGGAAGGTGACCTGAAGGGCCCAGACATTGACCTCAAAGGCCCCAAAGTCGACGTTGACCTTCCTGACGTTGAGCTGGAAGGGCCTGAAGGAAAATTGAAGGGCCCCAAGTTCAAGATGCCCGAGATGAACATCAAGGCCCCCAAAATCTCCATGCCTGACGTCGACTTCAACCTGAAGGGCCCCAAAATCAAGGGAGACCTCGATGTGTCTGTCCCTAAGCTGGAAGGTGACCTGAAGGGCCCTGAACTGGACATCAAGGGTCCCAAGGTGGACATCGAGGCCCCTGACGTGGACATTCACGGCCCAGAGGGGAAGTTCAAGATGCCCAAGTTCAAGATGCCCAAGTTTGGGATGCCCGGGGTCAAGGCTGAAGGCCCCGAGGTGGACGTGACCCTGCCGACAGGAAACCTGGATGTGTCCTGTCCCAAGGTGGACATTGAAGGTCCAGAGGTGGATGTTGAGCTGCCCGAGGGGAAGGTGAAGGGCCCCAAGTTCAAGATGCCCGAGATGCACTTTAAGACCCCCAAGATCTCGATGCCCGACATCGACCTGAACCTGAAGGGCCCCAAAGTGAAGGGAGACGTGGATGTGTCAATGCCAAAGCTGGAAGGTGACCTGAAGGGCCCTGAACTGGACATCAAGGGCCCCAAGGTGGACATCGAGGCCCCTGACGTGGACATTCACGGCCCAGAGGGGAAGTTCAAGATGCCCAAGTTCAAAATGCCCAAGTTTGGGATGAAGGGAGAAGGCCCCGAGGTGGACGTGACCCTGCCCAAGGGGGACGTTGATGTTTCCCTGCCCAAGGTGGACGTGGAGATGCCAAGTGTGGACATTGAAGGTCCTGAGGGGAAACTGAAAGGCCCCAAGTTCAAGATGCCCGAGATGAACATCAAGGCCCCCAAAATCTCGATGCCCGACATCGACCTGAACCTGAAGGGCCCCAGAGTGAAGGGGGGGGTCGATGTCTCTGCTCCCAAACTGGAAGGTGACCTGAAAGGTCCGGAGGTGAATATTAAAGGTCCAAAGTTGGATGTCGATGTTCCCGATGTCGACGTTGAAGGTCCCGAGGGGAAATGGAAAGGACCCAAGATAAAAATGCCAGAGATGAACATCAAGGCGCCAAAATTTTCCATGCCCGACATAGACCTCAACTTGAAGGGTCCCAAACTGAAGGGGGACGTGGACGTTTCTGCCCCAAAAATAGAGGGTGACGTGAAAGTGCCAGATCTGGAGCTGAAAGGACCCAAAGTAAACGTGGATGTTCCTGACGTTGAACTTGAGGTCCCAGAGGGGAAGATCAAGGGCCCCAAGTTCAAGATGCCCGAGATGAACATCAAGGCCCCCAAAATCTCGATGCCGGACTTTGATCTGAACCTGAAGGGCCCCAAAGTGAAGGGGGATGTGGACGTGTCTCTTCCCAAACTGGAAGGAGACCTGAAAGGTCCTGAAGTTGATCTCAAGGGCCCCAAAGTTGATGTCAACCTTCCTGACGTTGAGCTGGAAGGGCCTGAGGGGAAGGTGAAGGGCCCCAAGTTCAAGATGCCCGAGATGCATTTTAAAGCCCCCAAAATCTCGATGCCGGACTTTGATCTGAACCTGAAGGGCCCCAAAGTCAAGGGGGACGTGGACGTTTCAGTCCCAAAAATTGAAGGGGATTTGAAGGGCCCAGACCTCGACATCAAGGGCCCCAAACTGGATGTCAACGTCCCCGACGTCGACCTCGAGTGTCCAGAAGCGAAGTTGAAGGGCCCCAAGTTCAAGATGCCCGAAATGCACTTCAAAACCCCCAAGATCTCGATGCCTGACATCGATTTGAACCTGAAAGGCCCCAAACTGAAGGGAGATGTTGACATTTCCGCCCCCAAACTGGAGGGGGACCTGAAGGGTCCAGAGGTGGATGTCAAAGGCCCTAAACTGGACATCGAAGCTCCTGACGTGGACATTGAGCTGCCCGAGGGGAAGGTGAAGGGCCCCAAGTTCAAGATGCCCGAGATGCACTTCAAGGCTCCCAAAATCTCGATGCCGGACTTTGATCTGAACCTGAAGGGCCCCAAAGTGAAGGGGGACGTCGATGTGTCCCTGCCCAAGGGGGAAGGTGACCTGAAGGGGCCAGAGGTTTCACTGAAGGGCCCCAAAGTGGACATTGAGGCTCCAGACGTTGAGCTGGAATGTCCAGAGGGGAAGGTGAAGGGCCCCAAGTTCAAGATGCCCGAGATGAACATCAAGGCCCCCAAAATCTCAATGCCGGACTTTGATCTGAACCTGAAGGGCCCCAAAGTCAAGGGGGACGTCGATGTGTCCCTGCCCAAGGTGGAAGGTGACTTGAAAGCCCCAGACATCGACATCAAGGGCCCCAAAGTCAACGTCGACCTTCCTGATGTTGAGTTGGAAGGACCTGAGGGCAAGATCAAAGGCCCCAAGTTCAAGATGCCCGAGATGAACATCAAGGCCCCCAAAATCTCGATGCCCGACATCGACTTCAACCTGAAGGGCCCCAAGGTGAAAGGAGACGTGGATGTGTCAATGCCAAAGCTGGAAGGTGACCTGAAGGGCCCTGAACTGGACATCAAGGGCCCCAAGGTGGACATCGAGGCCCCTGACGTGGACATTCACGGCCCAGAGGGGAAGTTCAAGATGCCCAAGTTCAAAATGCCCAAGTTTGGGATGAAGGGAGAAGGCCCCGAGGTGGACGTGAACCTGCCCAAGGGGGACGTTGATGTTTCCCTGCCCAAGGTGGACGTGGAGATGCCAAGTGTGGACATTGAAGGTCCCGAGGGGAAACTGAAAGGTCCCAAGTTCAAGATGCCCGAGATGAACATCAAGGCCCCCAAAATCTCGATGCCCGACATCGACCTGAACCTGAAGGGCCCCAAAGTGAAAGGGGGAGTCGATGTCTCTGTTCCCAAACTGGAAGGTGACCTGAAGGGCCCAGACATTGACATCAAAGGCCCCAAAGTTGACATTGACCTTCCCGATGTTGAGCTGGAAGGGCCTGAAGGAAAACTGAAGGGCCCCAAGTTCAAGATGCCCGAGATGAACATCAAGGCCCCCAAGTTCTCCATGCCCGACGTCGACTTCAACCTGAAGGGCCCCAAGATCAAGGGAGATGTTGATGTGTCACTCCCTAAACTGGAGGGTGACCTGAAGGGCCCAGACATTGACATCAAGGGCCCCAAGGTGGACATCGAGGCCCCTGACGTGGACATTCACGGCCCAGAGGGCAAAATCAAAATGCCCAAGTTCAAGATGCCCAAATTCGGGTTTTCTGGCCCCAAAGTTGAAGGCCCCGAGGTGGACGTGACCCTGCCGACAGGAAACCTGGATGTGTCCGGTCCCAAGGTGGACATTGAAGGTCCAGAGGTGGATGTTGAGCTGCCCGAGGGGAAGGCGAAGGGCCCCAAGTTCAAGATGCCCGAGATGCACTTTAAGGCCCCCAAAATCTCGATGCCTGATGTCGACTTCAACCTGAAGGGCCCCAAATTGAAAGGGGATGTGGATGTTTCTGTTCCAAAACTAGAGGGAGATTTAAAGGGCCCAGACATCGGCATCAAAGGCCCCAAAGTCGACGTTGACCTTCCCGATGTTGAGCTGGAAGGGCCTGAAGGAAAACTGAAGGGCCCCAAGTTCAAGATGCCCGAGATGCACATCAAGGCCCCCAAAATCTCGATGCCCGACATTGATTTCAACCTAAAAGGCCCCAAGGTCAAGGGTGACGTGGATGTGTCTCTTCCCAAGATGGAAGGAGATTTAAAGGGCCCAGACATCGACCTCAAGGGCCCCAAAGTCGACCTTCCCGATGTTGAGCTGGAAGGGCCTGAAGGAAAATTGAAGGGCCCCAAGTTCAAGATGCCCGAGATGAACATCAAGGCCCCCAAAATCTCCATGCCTGACGTCAACTTCAACCTGAAGGGCCCCAAAATCAAGGGAGATTTGGATGTGTCTGTCCCTAAGCTGGAAGGTGACCTGAAGGGCCCTGAACTGGACATCAAGGGCCCCAAGGTGGACATCGAGGCCCCTGACGTGGACATTCACGGCCCAGAGGGGAAGTTCAAGATGCCCAAGTTCAAGATGCCCAAGTTTGGGATGCCCGGGGTCAAGGCTGAAGGCCCCGAGGTGGATGTGACCCTGCCGACAGGAAACCTGGATGTGTCCGGTCCCAAGGTGGACATTGAAGGTCCAGAGGTGGATGTTGAGCTGCCCGAGGGGAAGGTGAAGGGCCCCAAGTTCAAGATGCCCGAGATGCACATCAAGGCCCCCAAAATCTCAATGCCCGATGTTGACTTCAACCTGAAGGGCCCCAAAGTGAAGGGGGATGTGGATGTTTCCCTTCCCAAACTGGAAGGTGACCTGAAGGGCCCAGACATCGACCTCAAAGGCCCCAAAGTCGACGTTGACCTTCCCGATGTTGAGCTGGAAGGGCCTGAAGGAAAATTGAAGGGCCCCAAGTTCAAGATGCCCGAGATGCACATCAAGGCCCCCAAGATCTCCATGCCCGACGTCGACTTCAACCTGAAGGGCCCCAAGATCAAGGGAGACGTCGATGTGTCACTCCCTAAACTGGAGGGTGACCTGAAGGGCCCTGAACTGGACATCAAGGGCCCCAAGGTGGACATCGAGGCCCCTGACGTGGACATTCACGGCCCAGAGGGCAAAATCAAAATGCCCAAGTTCAAGATGCCCAAATTCGGGTTTTCTGGCCCCAAAGTTGAAGGCCCCGAGGTGGACGTGACCCTGCCCGATGCCGATGTCTCTCTTTCGGGTCCAAAGGTCGATGTTTCCCTTCCAGACCTGGACATCGAAGGACCTGAAGGAAAACTGAAGGGCCCCAAGTTCAAGAAGCCTGAACTGCAGTTCAACGTCCCCAAAATCTCGATGCCCGACATCGACCTGAACCTGAAGGGCCCCAAACTGAAGGGGGACGTTGATGCTTCCCTTCCCAAAATCGAGGGTGAGCTGAAAGGCCCCAAGTTGGACATCAAAGGGCCGGAGCTCGAGGTCGAGGGGCTGAAGGTTGATCTGGAAGGAAAAGCTAAAAAATCCAGGTTCAAACTCCCCAAATTTGGCTTCTCTGGCCCCAAAGTTCAAAGCCCTGAGGTGGATGTGAAGCTGAAGAAACCCGAGGTGGAAGTGTCTGGTCCCAAAGTCGAGGTTCAGGCTCCGGATTTGGACGTCCAGGCGAAATCCAAAGGCTCCAAGTTCAAAATGCCTTTCCTGAATATTTCCTCCCCCAAAGTGTCGATGCCGGACGTGGAACTGAACCTGAAAGGGCACAAAATGAAAGGGGAGCTGGACCTGTCCGGCCCCAAACTGGAAGGGGAACTGAAGGGCCCCGAGCTGGACATCAAAGGCCCCAAGGTGGACATCGAGGCCCCTGATGTGGACATTCACGGGCCAGAGGGAAAAATCAAAATGCCCAAGTTCAAGATGCCCAAATTTGGGCTCAAGGGGGAGGGGCCAGAGGTGGACGTGAACCTGCCGGCGGGAGAGCTGGACGTGTCCAGTCCCAAGGTGGACATTGAAGGTCCAGAGGTGGATGTTGAGCTGCCCGAGGGGAAGATCAAAGGCCCCAAGTTCAAGATGCCCGAGATGAACATCAAGGCCCCCAAAATCTCGATGCCCGACATTGACCTGAACTTGAAGGGCCCCAAAGTGAAGGGGGACGTGGACGTGTCCCTCCCCCAGGTGGATCTAAAAGGACCCGAAGTGGACGTTCCCGACCTTGACGTCGAAGGGCCCAAAGGAAAAATTAAAGGCCCCAAATTTAAAATGCCCGAGATGAACATCAAGGCCCCCAACTTGTCCATGCCAGACCTGGACCTGAGCCTGAAAGGTCCCAAGCTGAAAGGGGGGGTGGACGTTGATCTGTCGGCCCCAAAACTCGAAGGCGACGTGAACGTGCCGGACATCGACATCAAAGGCCCCAAAGTGGACATTGAGGGACCAGAGGTGGACATTGAAGGACCTGAGGGGAAGATCAAGGGCCCCAAGTTCAAGATGCCTGAGATGCACATCAAGGCCCCCAAAATCTCCATGCCTGACGTCGACTTCAACCTGAAGGGCCCCAAAGTGAAGGGGGATGTGGATGTTTCTCTTCCCAAACTAGAAGGTGACCTGAAAGGCCCTGAACTGGACATCAAGGGTCCCAAGGTGGACATCGAGGCCCCCGACGTGGACATTCACGGCCCAGAGGGGAAGTTCAAGATGCCCAAGTTCAAGATGCCCAAGTTTGGGATGCCCGGGGTCAAGGCTGAAGGCCCCGAGGTGGACGTGACCCTGCCGACAGGAAACCTGGATGTGTCCGGTCCCAAGGTGGACATTGAAGGTCCAGAGGTGGATGTTGAGCTGCCCGAGGGGAAGGTGAAGGGCCCCAAGTTCAAGATGCCTGAGATGCATTTTAAGACCCCCAAGATCTCGATGCCTGATGTCGACTTCAACCTGAAGGGCCCCAAAGTGAAGGGGGATGTGGATGTTTCCCTTCCCAAACTGGAAGGTGACCTGAAGGGCCCAGACATCGACCTCAAGGGCCCCAAAGTCGACGTTGACCTTCCCGATGTTGAGCTGGAAGGGCCCGAGGGGAAGGTGAAGGGTCCCAAGTTCAAGATGCCCGAGATGCATTTTAAGGCCCCCAAAATCTCGATGCCTGACTTTGATCTGAACCTGAAGGGCCCCAAAGTCAAGGGGGACGTCGATGTGTCCCTGCCCAAGGTGGAAGGTGACCTGAAGGTGCCGAAGGTGGATGTTAAAGGTCCTGAGTTGGATGTTTCTGCCCCAGATGTTCAAATTGAGGGCCCAGAAGGGAAGATCAAGGGCCCCAAGTTCAAGATGCCCGAGATGAACATCAAAACCCCTAAAATCTCAATGCCGGACTTTGATCTGAACCTGAAGGGCCCCAAAGTCAAGGGGGATGTGGATGTTTCCCTTCCCAAACTGGAAGGTGACCTGAAAGCCCCAGACATCAACATCAAGGGCCCCAAAGTCGATGTCGACCTTCCTGATGTTGAGCTGGAAGGACCTGAGGGGAAGGTGAAGGGCCCCAAGTTCAAGATGCCCGAGATGAACATCAAGGCCCCCAAAATCTCGATGCCCGACATCGACCTGAACCTGAAGGGCCCCAACGTGAAGGGAGACGTGGATGTGTCTCTTCCCAAGGTGGAAGGTGATTTGAAAGGTCCTGAAATTGATATTAAAGGCCCGAAAGTTGATGTTAATCTTCCTGATGTTGAACTGGAAGGGCCTGAGGGAAAATTGAAGGGCCCCAAGTTCAAGATGCCCGAGATGAACATAAAAGCCCCCAAGTTCTCCATGCCTGACGTTGACTTCAACCTGAAGGGCCCCAAGATCAAGGGAGACGTCGATGTCTCTGTCCCTAAACTGGAAGGTGACCTGAAAGGCCCTGAACTGGACATCAAGGGCCCCAAGGTGGACATCGAGGCCCCTGACGTGGACATTCACGGCCCAGAGGGGAAGTTCAAGATGCCCAAGTTCAAGATGCCCAAGTTTGGGTTTTCTGGCCCCAGAGTTGAAGGCCCCGAGGTGGACGTGACCCTGCCAACAGGAAACCTGGATGTGTCCGGTCCCAAGGTGGACATTGAAGGTCCAGAGGTGGATGTTGAGCTGCCCGAGGGGAAGGTGAAGGGCCCCAAGTTCAAGATGCCCGAGATGCACATCAAGGCCCCCAAAATCTCGATGCCCGACATCGACCTGAACCTGAAGGGCCCCAAAGTGAAAGGGGGAGTCGATGTCTCTGTTCCCAAACTGGAAGGTGACCTGAAGGGCCCAGACATTGACCTCAAGGGCCCCAAAGTTGACATTGACCTTCCCGATGTTGAGCTGGAAGGGCCTGAAGGAAAACTGAAGGGCCCCAAGTTCAAGATGCCCGAGATGCACATCAAGGCCCCCAAAATCTCCATGCCCGACGTCGACTTCAACCTGAAGGGCCCCAAGATCAAGGGAGATGTTGATGTGTCACTCCCTAAACTGGAGGGTGACCTGAAGGGCCCAGACATTGACATCAAGGGCCCCAAGGTGGACATCGAGGCCCCTGACGTGGACATTCACGGCCCAGAGGGCAAAATCAAAATGCCCAAGTTCAAGATGCCCAAATTCGGGTTTTCTGGCCCCAAAGTTGAAGGCCCCGAGGTGGACGTGACCCTGCCGACAGGAAACCTGGATGTGTCTGGTCCCAAGGTGGACATTGAAGGTCCAGAGGTGGATGTTGAGCTGCCCGAGGGGAAGGTGAAGGGCCCCAAGTTCAAGATGCCCGAGATGCACATCAAGGCCCCCAAAATCTCGATGCCTGACGTTGATCTGAACCTGAAGGGCCCCAAAGTGAAGGGGGATGTGGACGTGTCACTGCCAGGAGTCGAAGGAGAACTGAAGGGTCCCGAGGTCGGTGTCGCCGCCCCTGACGTCCACATCGACAGCCCAGAGGGCAAATTCAAACTCCCCAAATTCAAGATGCCCAAGTTTTCCATGCCTGGATTTAAAGGGGAGGGGCCAGAGGTGGACGTGACCCTCCCGAAGGGCGACATCAACATTTCGGGCCCTGGCGTGGACGTGGAGGCTCCTGATCTGAGCATGGGCGGGAAAGTCAAAGGTCCCAAATTCTCCATGCCTGAGATGCACATCAAGGCCCCCAAAATCTCCATGCCCGACGTCGACTTCAACATCAAAGGGCCCCACCTGAAAGGAGACATCGACGTGTCGGCCCCCAGGCTGGAGGGGGACCTCCAAGCCCCCCAGATCGACGTGAAAGGCCCCAAAATCGACGTTGAGGCTCCCGATGTGACCCTGGAAGGGCCCGAAGGGAAACTCAAAGGCCCCAAGTTCAAGATGCCCGAGATGAACATCAAGGCCCCCAAGTTCTCCATGCCCGACATCGACCTCAACCTGAAGGGCCCCAAGGTCAAGGGTGACATGGGCGTGGCGGCGCCAGCGCTGGAGGGGAACCTGCAGTGCCCAGACCTCGACATCAAAGGCCCCAAACTGGACATTCAGGCCCCAGAGGTGACCGTGGAAGGGCCCAAGATCAAGATGCCCGAAATGCACGTCAAGACCCCCCAGATTTCCATGCCTGACATCGACTTGAACTTGAAGGGCTTGAAGGGCAAAGTTGATGCTGAATTCCACGGCCCGAAGCTCGAGGGGGGTCTGAAGGGCCCCGAGGTCGATATCAAGGGGCCCAAAGTCGACATCGAGGGCCCGGCGGTCGACGTCGACGGTCTGGAGGGAAAAGTGAAGCTGCCCAAAATGAAAATGCCCAAATTCGGTTTCAAAGGGGAAGGTCCCGACGTGGACGTGAACCTGCCGAAGGCCGAGGTGGAGCTTTTGGGCCCCAAGGTGGACCTCGACGTCCCAGAGGTGAGCCTGGAGGGGCCAGAGGGCAAAGTGAAAGGTCCTAAGCTGAAAATGCCCGAAATGCACGTGAACATCCCCAAAATCTCCATGCCCGAGATAGACTTGAGCTTGAAAGGCCACAAAACCAAGGGGGGCTTTGACCTTTCGGCCCCGAAGGTGGAAGGTCACCTGAAAGGGCCCGAGGTCGACCTGAAAGGCCCAGAATTTGGGGTCAAAGGCCCCGAAGTCGACGTCGAATGTCCGGACCTGAGCGTCGAGGGCCCCGAGGCCAACGTCAAACTTCCCAAGTTTAAGAAGTCCAAGTTTGGGTTCGGGATGAAAAGCCCGAAGGCCGAAGTGGATTTACCCGAGGTGGAGCTGAGCCTGGAGTCACCCGACGTCAACCTGTCCGGAAAGGGCAAGAAGAGCAAATTCAAGATGCCCAAAATCCACATGAGTGGCCCCAAAGTGAAAGGGAAGAAGGGGGCGTTCGACGTGAACGCGGCCGGGGCGGAGCTGGACGCGGATCTCAACGTCGCCGGCCCCGACGTGACCGTCAAAGGCGACGCCGCCGTGAAGTCCCCCAAGGGGAAGAAACCCATGTTCGGCAAAATCTCCTTCCCGGATGTCGAGTTCGACCTGAAATCGCACCGGTTCCGAGGGGAGGCGTCCGCGGGGGTCCCGAAAATCGAGGGGGAGCTCAAAGCACCGGATCTGGAAGTTTCCGTGCCCGCGGTCAAAGGGGACGTCAAGGGGCCGAGTCTCAGCGTGGACCTTGAAGCTCCCGATGTGAACCTGAAGTCCCCGAAGCTCAAACTCCCTGGGGGGCAGGTGGGTGTGGGGGACGGGAAAGTCGGGGGGGACCTGAAGGGCCCCGGGGTCGAGGTGGCCGTTCCCTCGCTGCCGGATTTCAGCCTGAAAGGACCAAAGGTAAAAGGCGAAGTCGGCGTTTCCGGAGCAGAACTGGAAGGTCCCGAGGGAAAACTGGGATGGCCCAAAGGGGGGAAAGGGGGTCTGGGGCTGGAAATGCCGGATGTGAACTTGGATGTGTCGGTGCCGGGCGTGGGGGGGAGCGGGAGCCTCCCGTCAGCCGACGTGAAGCTCAGAGGGCCCCAAATCTCCGGCCCTGAGTTTGAGGGAAACCTGAAAGGACCAAAATTAAAGGGAGAGTTGGATGTCTCGGGCTCCGTGGAAGGGCCGAACGTCACCCTGGGCACGCCCAGCGTTGACCTCAGAGGTTTGGGGGGGAAGATGAAGCTGCCCAAGGTGCCGGATCTGAGCGCCAAGGGGGGCGTTTCCTGCTCCGTCCCAAAAGTGGAGGTGGGCTCCCAGTCCCCCGGGGCCAACTTCGCCGTCTCTGCCCCGGATTTGGACGTCAACCTGAAAGGACCAAAGTTGAAAGGAGATTTCGGCGTCAAATCCCCCAAAACATCCGCGGACGCCGACTTCGAAATCCTCGGGGGCACCATCAAACTCCCGTCCCTGAAACTCCCCCAGTTCGGCGTCTCCGGCCCTGGCGTGGAGGGAGGGGACGCGGGGGTCGCTCTGGAAGGTCCCCAGGTGAAGGGGGGGCTGAAGGGCTCTGCTCTGGGGCTGGAAGGGCCCGACGTGGAGCTGAAAGGGCCGAAATTCCAGGCGTCGCCTCCCGGAGTCCCCACGCCGGACGTTGACCTGAGGCTGAAAGGACCAAACGTGGACGTGTCCGGTGACATCAAAGGCCCAAAGGTCGGCGTGGAGGCCCCTCGCGTGGAGCTGACGAAGGCGGGGACGGGCGTCCACCTCGACGCTCCCGCCCTGGAAGTTTCCGGCTCGGGGTTGAACGTCAACGTGAAAGGGCCGAAGGTCAAGGGCGGGGCCGAGGTCGGGGGCGGAACCTTCCACCTGTGCGGCCCCAAGGTGGGCGCGGCGGGTCCCGAGGGCGGCCAGGTCAAGGTGTCCTTCCCCAAGCTGCGGATGCCCAAGTTCGTGTTCTCCGACCCCGAGGCCAAGGGCCGGGAGGTGGGAGTGGACGTCGAGTTCCCGGGGGCCGACGTGGCCGCGGCGGCCGAGCCGGAGCCGGACGACGCCGACGGGAGGCTCAAGAAACCCAAACTCAAGATGCCCAAGTTCAACTTCTCCAAGCAGAAAGGGCGGGGAGGCGGCGGCGACCCCGCGTCCCCCGAAGCGTCGGGGTCCGTCTCGGGTTCCAGGGGGGACCTGAAGAGCTCCAAGGCGAGCCTGGGCTCCGCCGAGGGCGACGCCGAGGCCGAGGCGCCGTCGGCCAAGGGCAAGTTCTCCCTGTTCCGCAGCAAGAAGCCGCGGGCGCGCTCGTCGTCCTTCAGCGACGACGCCTCGGCCGCGCGCGGCCCCGAGGCCGATCCCAAAGCGCCCAAGGTGAAATTCGGGACCTTCGGGGGCATCGGCTCCAAGAGCAAAGGTTGTTACGAGGTGACGGCGAGCGACGAGGAGCCGGGGCGGGCGCAGGGCGGGGTGGGGGCGACCCTGGGCCCCCCCAAATCCCGCTTGTCCTCGTCCTCCTCCTCCTCGGAGGGCGGGCCGCGCGGCCCCGGCGCGGAGCTGACGGTGGCCAAGCGCAAGGAGTGAGGGGGTTGTACATAGTCCCGGGCGGGGGGGCCCCCGCGTGTACAGAGGGGGGGTTGGGGGTCCCCCAAATTCGGGGAGGGGCGAGAGGGGGGGTCCCTCCGTTCGTGTAGGACCCACCCGGAGTTCCCCTTCCCTTCCCTGCCATCCCTTTTTTGATATTTTTATTGGGTTTTTTTCCCCCCCCCCCGTTTCCCCCCAATATTTTCAGTGTTTGGGGGTCGTGGAAATGAATTTTTTTTTTGTTCTTTTTTTGTTTGTTTGTTTTGAGGGGTTTTTTTGGTCCTTTTTTTTTTTTTTTTGGTCTTTTTCGCACAAAGTTTTGGCTTTTTTTTTTTTTTTTTTTTTTTTGTTTTTTGGCGGGGCTGAAACTTCCGGGGGGAAAATGGATTTGGGGCGAAGAAAACAGAGCTTTGTCTTTTTGTTTGGTTTTTTGGTTTTTTGGTTTATTGGGGGAGAAAAAAAAAAAATCAACCCCAACCTGTGGATTTCTCGGAAAAAAAACACACCCCCCCGATTTTGATTTACTAAAAGAAAACCCCCAAAATTGGATGTAATTTAAAAAAAAAAAAACGGATGAAACCTGTGGGTTTATTAAAAAAATAAACTGAAAATGTGGATTTTTTAAAAAAAAAAGTAAAGGAAGAAAATGGCTTTATTAACAAAAATAAACCAAAAATGTGGATTTATTTTAAAAATAAAAAAAAACCCTGTGGATTTATTAAAAAAATAAAGCCCATATGTGGATTTATCACAAAAATAAACCAAATAAAATGGAACAATTATTAAAAAAAAAAAACCACCAAACTGTGGATCTGTTAAAAACCAAACCAAATAAAATTGGACTCTTATTAAAAAAAACAACCACAACAATAATGGATCGATTAAAAAGCATGGATTTATTAAAAGAATAAGTGAAATAAATTGGATCTATGAAAGAAAATCAATGAATGAAATTGGTTCTGTTAAAAAAATTGACCAAAAAAAAAAAAGGAATCCATTTAGGAATCCAATTAAATGGATTTATTACATAACAGAAGCCCCCAAAATGCGGATTTAATAAATAACCACAAAAAAGTGCATTTATTAATAAAATTAACCAAAACCCCCCATGAATTTCTTAACGAAATAAACCAAAAAACCAGGGATTTGTTACATAAAAGAAAGAAACCCCCCCCCCAAACCCCGGCGGGTGAAACCGAGACGTGTCCCTGGATCTTCTGACTCAGGCCTCGGAAAAATTAATCCCGGCCTAAGTTCACGAGATCAAATGACTCCGGGACGGACAAAAACGAGGCCGGAGCTCCAGGAAAATGCCTCCCTCCCAAAGTTTTTAATTTCTTTTTTTTTTTTTTGCTCGTTTTTCCGGCTGTTTCTGTCGCCACGTCTTTGTTTTTTTATTTTGTCTCAGAATTTGATAAGAAGCCTCTTTTTTTGTCTTTTTTTTTTTTGTTTTTTCACAAAAGGGGCGTCGCGAATCTGGGAAAAGTTTCCCTCCGGAGGATATTTTTTTTTTTTTTCTTTGGGGGGGGGGGGGAGGTTTAAGTTAAAAAAAAAAAAAAAAACAAAAAAAAACCCAGCCCTGAAAGAATGTAAATAAAAAAATAATTAAAAAAAAAAGTTCCCTTTGCAGCACTTTAACGGCGAATTAACAGGAGACAAATGAGAAAATGAGGGTGGAAAATGCAAATAAATGCAAATAAAAATGTTTATTAACCGCGAGGCTGCAATTTTGGTGGATTTCGGGGGGGAGGGGGCGGGGGGGTTATTTCAGCCCAAATTTGGGGGGTTTTACCCTCGAGAGAGTCCTGTGGCCACTCCCCATCCCCGGATTTGGGGTCCCCATCCCCGGATTTGGGGTCACACCCCCCCCCCCCCCCCCCAAGCTCAGCTTTGGGGTCACAACCCTCCCCCCGCCACGCCCCCCCCCCACCTCTGGCTGTGGGGGTCCTGTCCCCCCCCCCCCCTCAGATGTGGGGTCACACCCCCCCCCCCCCCCCGTCCCTCCCCCTCCTCGGTTTTGTGGCCGTGTCCCCTCCCCCACCCCGAGATTTGGGGTCGAACGCCCCCTCCCCTCCCCCCAGTGTCCCCTCCGCGGCCCCCGCCCCCAATTAGGAGCCTTTTTTACACCCCCAGCCCACAAGGGGGCGCTGTCTCCCAGAGAGGAGAGGCACTTCCGGGTAAGGGACGTGAGTTTGTCGCCATTTTTGGCCCGAGGCACGACGGGAAATGTAGTTCTAAACGGAAAATGGTGACCTTGACCTCCATATTGTCCCCGATGCATGACGGGAAATGTAGTCACGAACCAATGGGATGACGGGGCGTGGTTTGTCGGCCATATTGCCCCCCCGAGGCATGATGGGAGCTGTAGTTCTGACTCGAGGCCCTGCTGCTTTCTGGGTAGTGTAGTTCTAAACAAGGGGCGGGGTTTGGCGGCCATGTTGCCGCGGTGCACGCTGGGAGCTGCAGTTCCCACTGTACCCCCTCCTCCCCTGCCCTCCCCCAGTTCCGCTCGCAGGACGGCCGCTGGTCTGTACTGGTGGTTACTGGTTTGTACTGGCGGTCACTGGTCTGAACCGGATGTGGCTCCTCCCACCCCATCACCAAGGCAACCAGAGGCCCCGCCCACCCCCATGAGGGATGCACAGAGGCATCATGGGTAGGTGGCCATCTTTATTGAGGGCAGGTCACCCAGGGGCACAGGGGTCTGGGGGGGACACGGGGGGGCAGCTTGGGAGGATCCAGGTCCCTGAAAGGGATCCAGGTGTCTGGGAGGGACCCACGTGTCCAAGTCTGGAGGATCCAGGTGTCCAGGGAGGATCCAGGTGTCCATTTTGGGGGGATCCCGGTGTCCAAGTTGGGTGACCCCAGGTGCCCAGGGAGGACTCAGGTGTCCATTTTGGGGGGATCCAGGTGTCCAAGTTGGGAGACCCCAGGTGCCCAGGGAGGACTCAGGTGTCCATTTTGGGGGGATCCAGGTGTCCAAGTTGGGAGACCCCAGGTGCCCAGGGAGGACTCAGGTGTCCCCGTTGGGGAGGTCCAGGTCTCGGGAAGGGATCCAGGTGTCCAAGTCGGGGGGCCGGAGTTCAGCCCGGGGGGATCCAGGTGTGCAGTGGAGAGGAGACTCAGGTGTTCAGACTGGAGGCACCCAAGTGTCCATCGGAGGATCTCGGGTGGGTCAGGTGTCCATCAGGGGGTCCCCAGGTGGGTCAGGTGTCCATCAGGGGGTCCCCAGGTGGGTCAGGTGTCCATCAGGGGGTCCCCAGGTGGGTCAGGTGCCCATCAGGGGGTCCCCAGGTGGGTCAGGTGCCCATCAGGGGGTCCCCAGGTGGGTCAGGTGTCCATCAGGGGGTCCCCAGGTGGGTCAGGTGTCCATCAGGGGGTCCCCAGGTGGGTCAGGTGTCCATGGGGGGTCCCAAGGAGGGTCAGGTGTCCATCAGGGGGTCCCCAGGTGGGTCAGGTGTCCAACAAGGGGACCCTAGGTGGGTCGGGTGTCCAGATCAGGGTGACCTAGGTGTCCATGACCCAGGTATCCATGGGGGTCCCAAGGAGGGTCAGGTGTCCATCGGGTGACCCCAAATGGGTCAGGTGTCCATGGGGGTCCCAAGGAGGGTCAGGTGTCCATCAGGTGACCCCAGGTGGGTCAGGTGTCCATGGGGGTCCCCAGGAGGGTCAGGTATCCATCAGGTGACCCCAGGAGGGTCAGGTGTCCATCAGGTGACCCCAGGAGGGTCAGGTGTCCATCAGGGGGTCCCCAGGTGGGTCAGGTGTCCATGGGGGTCCCCAGGAGGGTCGGGTGCCCAGGTGAGGGTGACCCAGGGGGTCTCAGCAGCGCCGGGCCGAGCCGGGGTAGCGCCGGGGCAGCTCCGCGCGGAAGCTCCGGAAGAGCTGCCGGTTGTGGCCCAGCTCGGCCTCGCGGCCCCCGTGGAACCCCCCGGGCTCCTTGAAGCCCCGGTGGGCCACGAAGGCCCCGTCCAGCACCGCGAAACGGAACCCGGCCACGTGCAGCTCGCAGGCCTGGGGAGGGGGGCACAGTGTCACCCACCACACCCCATGGCACCCCATGGCACCCCAGAGCACCCCCACCACATCCCACAGCACCCAGAGCACCCCCAGAGCACCCACTGATGCTCCACAGCACCCACAGACCCTCTATAGCCCCCACAGACCCCATGGCCCCACCTCATGGTCACCCCACGACCACCAAGGCCACCCCGAGACCACCCCATGGCCACCGCACCACCACCCCAAGACCACCAAGGTTCCCCCAACCCCATGACCACCCCATGGCCACCAAGGCCACCCCAAGCTCCCCCCAACCCTGACGGCCACCCCACGGCCACCCCAAGACCACCAAGGTCCCCCCACTCCCATGACCACCCCCCCAACCCCCAGGGCCACTCCCCCCGACCACCAAGGCCACCCCATCCCCCCGGCCCTACCTGGCTGATGCGGTTGAAGCCGTACTGGAGGAACCTCTCGTCGAAGGGAGGGACCCCCCGGGCCGGGGCCACGTAAAAGGGCTCCCAGGGGTCCCTCCAGGGCACCTCGTAGGCCACGCGCAGCCGGGGGGGCGGGGGCAGCGCCCGCCAGCGCCCGAAGTCGGTGGGGGCCTGGCAGCGGGGGCACAACGTCCCGTAGAAGGGACGGGCGTCCCCCGCGTCCCACAGGCGCAGCAGCTCCACCTTCGAGCCCGGCACCCCCATCCCAGCCCGCACCTCGAAGGCCGGGAGGACAAAGACCACCCGGGCGTCGGGGTCCTCCAGGGACTTGGGGTCCTCCAGGGACTTGGGGACCTCCAGGGACTTGGGGTCCTCCGGGGACTTGGGGACCTCCGGGGACTTGGGGTCCTCCAGGGACTTGGGGTCCTCCAGGGACTTGGGGACCTCCGGGGAGTTGGGGTCCTCCAGGGCATTGGGGACACCTGGGTCGTGGAAGCCTTTGGGGACCTCCAGGGTGTTGGGGTCCCTCAGGGCATCGGGGACCTCCAGGGCGTTGGGGACCCCCGGGTCATGGAAACCCCTGGGGACCTCCAGGGCGTTGGGGACAACTGGGTCACTCAAGGCATTGGGGACCCCCAACCCGTTGGGGACCTCTGGGGCTCTGGGGTTCGTCAGGACTTTGGGGTCCCCCAGGGCATCGGGGACCCCCGGGGCAGAGAAGCCCTTGGGGTCTCCCAAGGCTTTGGAGTCCTTCAGAACTTTGGGGTCCCCCGGGACATCAGGGGCCTCCAGGGTGTTGGGGACCCTGAGGCCACCAGGAGCCCCCAAAACTTTGGGATCTCCCAAATCCCCCCCAATCCCCAAAGCTTTGGGGTCCCTAAAACCCCCCTGACCCTCCAACCCCCCCTGAACCCCCAAAGCTTTGGGGTCCCCCAACCCCCCCTGAACCCCCAAAACTTTGGGATCCCCCCCTGGAGCCTCCAAGGCATTGGGGCCCCCCCGACGTCCCGCAACCCCCCCAGCTGGGGGTGCCCCCAATCCCCCCCCTCCGGCTCCCCAGGTTTCGGGGCGCAGCCCCCCCTCCCTGAGCAGCCCCAGGAACCCCTCGCGCAGCCCCCGACTGGGCACCACGTCGGCGTCCACCAGGAGCACGAAGCGGCCCCCCCGCCCCGACCCGGGGGGGCCCGGACCCCCATCCCGGCCGGAAAGGGGCCCCCCCTTTCCGTCGGCCGCCCCCTCCCAGGCCACGTTCCGCAGGAGATTCCCGGGGTACGGCACCCCCAGGGCGTAGCTGGGGGGGTCCGCGGCCTCCAAGCGCCGCAGGGCCCCCCGACACCCCCCCGGCTTGGGGGGGCCGGGCCTGGGGGGCAGCGCCCAAGGGGGGGGCGACGCCGCCGCCCCCGCCGCGACCACCACGTGCAGCCTCAGGCGGCCCCGCAGCCCCCGGCAGGGCCCCCCCAGGAGCGCCAGCAGCTCCTCCAACCCCCCCCGGGGCACCCCGAAAACGGCCACCGAGAGGGGACCCCCCCAGGGCCCCCCCAGCGCCGCGGCCGCTCGCCCCGGGGTGCCGTGGGTGGCCAGGACCAGCTCGGGGGGGTCCCAGCGCGGGGGGGGTCCCAGCACGTCCCGGTACACCCGGAACGTCCCCGACGCGTCCAGGACCCCCCGGGGGGGTCGCAGGGTCGGGGGGGGGCGGCGGCGGGGGGCGAGGTGGGGGGGGGTCCGCGGGGGGGGCAGCGCCCGCAGGTAGAGGGTCTGCAGCAGCGCCAGCCCCCCCAGCAGCCACGCGCAGCCCCCCAGGAGACGCCCCCGGCCCATCGGAGCGGACTGGGGGGGACTGGGGGGGACTGGGAGGGACTGGGAGGAGTCTGGGGGCACTGGGGAGGGGTACTGGGGATGCGGGCTGGGGGCACGGGGAGGGGGACTGGGATGCTGGGGGGCACTTGGAGGGGACTGGGGGCACTTGGGAGGTTACTGGGATGCTGGGGGGCACTGGGAGGGGGACTGGGGGCACTTGGGAGGGGTTACTGGGTGCTGGGGGTCACTGGGGGAGGGGTAACTGGGGTCACTGGGGAGGGGTACTGGGGATGCGTGGGTCACTGGGAGGGACCTGGGATGCTGGGGGGCACTGGTAGGGGACTGGGGGCACTGGGGAGGGGGACTGGGGATGCTGGGGGGCACTGGGAGGGGACTGGGGGCACTGGGGAGGGGGACTGGGGATGCTGGGGGGCACTGGGAGGGGACTGGGGGCACTGGGGAGGGGGACTGGGGATGCTGGGGGGGACTGGAATGGATCTGGGGGCACTGGGAGGGCGCTGGGGGGGGACTGGTGGCTACTGGGAGGATGCTGGAGGGGACTGGGATGGGGTGGGGGGTTTCTGGGGGCACTGGGAGGGTACTGGGCGCTACTGGGGGTCACTGGGAGGGTACAGAGGTTTGTACTGGGAAGGTGCTGGGGGGTTACTGGGCGGGTGCTGGGGGTCGCTGGGAGCAGCGCTGAGCCGGGCCCAGCAGGACATGCTGGAAGCACCGCGGGACCACTGGGACCAGTAAGGGCTTACTGGGACCAGTCCGGGGGTGCTGGGAGCTCTATGGGTGCCCGACCGCGACTGGGAGGGGTGAGCGGGACCAGTCCGGGGGGTCACTGGGACCAGTTTGGGGGTGGGGAGGAGGGTCTGGCCCCAGTTCGGGGGTCACCGGCCCCAGTTTGGGGGTCACTGGGACCAGTCCGGGACTCACCCACCGCGTCGCCGCCGGGACTCCCCGCGCGTGCGCGGGGAGGGGCGTGGGCGTGGCCGCAGCGCTCGGGGGCGGGGTTTGTGCACTCGGGGCGGGGTTCGCTGGGCGGGGGGCGGGGTTTTGCAGTTCTGGGGGCGCGGCTTAGGTGCTCGGGGGCGGGGTTTGCACGGGCGGGTTTAGTCCGTTAGGGGGCGTGGTTTGGTCCGTTGGGGCGTGGTTTTCTCGCTCGGGGGCGTGGCCTGTCGCGTTCCCCAGTCCCGCTCTCGGACCCCCGGGAGTCTCCCGAGCCCCTGGGACCCCCCCAAATCCTGGGATCCCCCAAATTTCTGGGCATCCCCGGACCCCCTGAGGTACCTCCCCCCCCTCCCCCCGAGCCCCTGGGACCCTTCAAATTCCTGGATATTCCCCCAAATTCCTGGGTCCTCCCAGACCCCTGGGACCCCAAAATTCCTGGATCCCCCACGAAATCCTGGAATACCCAAATTCCTGAGGCTCTCCCCTCACCCCTGTTGCTCCGAAATTCCCGGTTTCCCTCGGACTCCTGAGACACCCACCCTCTCCGAGCCCCAAATCCCGGGTCTCCCCCAAATTCCTGGGTCTCTCTAAACCTCCGGGCCCCCCCAAACCCCAGGGCTCCCCCAAATTCCTGTGATCCCCAAACCCCTGGGATCCCATAAATTCTTGAGTACCCCCAAATTCCTGGGTACTCCTCAAACCTCTTGATCCCCCCAGTTCTTGGGTGCCCTTCCCAAACTCCTGGGTCCCCCCCAAACCTTTCGATCTCCCCAAACCCCCGTGTCCCCCCCCAAATTCTTGGGTCCCTCCAAGCCCCTGGATCACCCGAAACTCTTGGGGACCCTCCAAGTCCCTGGGTCCCCCCCAAACCCCTCTGTCCCCCCAAATCCCCTGGAAAGAAGGGGCCACGGGCACAGGGACCACAGAGGCCACTTTATTGCCGGGGGTGTCGGGGCCACGGGGCCTCCAGGGGTCATCGGGGACATCGGGGACACGGGGGCTGTTGGACCACCACGTGTCTGTCCCTCGGGTGGGGACACGGGGGACCTTGGGGACAATGGGGGGGCCAGTCCCTCGTGGTGGGGACGTTGGGGACACTGGGCCGTGGGGGGGGCTCAGTGCCTCGAGTCCAGGTGGTGACGATGTCCCGCGTCCTTTGGGGACGTCGGGGACATCGGGGGCGCTGGGGGACATCGAGCCGTGGTGGCTCTCGGTCCCTTGAGTCCAGGTGGTGACGATGTCCCGCGTCCTTTGGGGACATCAGCGACATTGAGACATCGGGGACAGCGTTGGGGACATCGGGGCTGGGGGGGTGGGGCTCAGTCCTTGGACCAGTCCCACATCCTTTGGGGACATCGGGGACATTGGGGACATAGGGGACATCAGGCCGTGGCGGGTCTCAGTCTTTCGGCCAGGGGTGATGACAATGTCCCACATCCTTTGGGGACATCGGGGACATCGGGGACATCGGGGACATCAGGCCGTGGCGGGTCTCAGTCCTTCGGCCAGGGGTGATGACAATGTCCCACATCCTTTGGGGACATCGGGGACGTTGGGCCACGACGGGTCTCAGTCCGCTGGGTTGGGGACATCAGGGACATCCTCGGGGACACTGGGGACATCCTCGGGGGCATCGGGGCCATCAGCCCGCGCCGTGTCTCAGTCTCTCAGTCCGGGGTGATGAGCGGGTCCCTCGTCCCTTGGGGACAGTGGGGACGTCGGTCCCGGGTTGTCTCTGTCCCTCGGGGGCGTTGGGGACGTCGGGCTGGGACAGGTCTCAGTCCGTTCACGTGGTGTCCTCGTCCTTCGGGGACATCGAGCGGTGACGGGTGCCCGTGTCCCTCGGGGACGTCGAGCGGTGACGGGTGCCCGTGTCCCTCGGGGACGTCGAGCGGTGACGGGTGCCCGTGTCCCTCGGGGACGTCGAGCGGTGACGGGTGCCCGTGTCCCTCGGGGACGTCGGCGATGTCGCGCCGCGCCGGATCTCGATGTCTTGGCGGGGGGGCGTGGGGGACATCGGGGGGGTTGGGGACACTGGGGGTGTGGGGGGCACTGGGGGTGTCGGGGACATTGGGGACACTGAGCCACGCTGTGTCTCAGTCCCTCGGGTTGGGGACGTTGGGGATGTTGGGGACGTTGGGGACGTTGGGGACATCAGGCCGTGATGTCTCACAGTCCCTTGGGGGGGTGTTGGGGACACCGGGGACACCGGGGACACTGGGGACATCAGGCCATGACCTGTCCCAGCCCCAATGGCTTCGGGGTAACCGGCGCCCACGTCCCCCAGACTGGGGACATTGGGGACATCAGGTCATGTCCCCGCTCCCTGGGTTGGGGACACTGGGGCCACCGAGCCACATTGTGCCTCAGCCCCGTGAGTTGGGGGCGTTGGGGACATCGGGACATCACTCGGCCCGGGGTCACTGGGGACATCGGGGACATCGGGGACATCGGGGGCATCGGGGACATCAAGCCACATCGTGCCTCGGTCCCTTGCGCTGGGGACATGGGGGACAACACCCATGGGGGGGGTACAGACTTTTTGGGGGGGACTCTGCCAAAAACGCAGACCCCGAGGTGGGGGACGAGGACAGGGCGGGTGACGGGGACAAGGTGGGTGACGAGGGACGGGGACACTCGGGGTGGGAGGGGGGGCGAGGGGGGGCCACAGGCTCCTACAGGTGGGTCCAAGCCACCCACTGACCCAAAATTTGGGGACGGGTCCCGGAGTGGGGGGCGGGGACGGGGGACACGAGGGACGGGCCCCAGGCGTCCGGGTTTTGGGGAGGGGGGGGCCACCAGCCCCCCCCCAATTACCTTAGAGACTCGTTACGAGTTAAATTAGCACGAAAGGCCCCGGGGGGGGGCGGCGGGGGGAGGGGGCACGGCCGGGGCCGGGGGGGACGGCGGCTCCGGGCCGGGGTGACAATGACAATATGCCATACTGGGGGCAAGTCGCGTCACAGACTTAGTTCAGAACGACGGGGCGCGCTGGCTTCCGGCTGCGGGGGGGACGTGGGGACACGTCAGGGACCCCAAAACAGGGGGGGAGACCCCACAAACCCGCCACGGACCCCCAAACCAGGTTGTGACCCCACAAACCCACCAGGGACCCCAAAACAGCAGGGAAGGCCCCACAAACCCGCCACGGACTCCAAAACCCAGTTGTGACCCCGCAAACCCACCACAGACCCTGAAATCTTGGCCGTGACCCCAAAAACCCCCCAAGAACCCCTAAACCAGGTTGTGACCCCACAAAACCCCCAAGGACCCCCAAACCAGGCTGTGAGCCCCCAAGCCTTCCAAGGGACACCAGAACAAAGCTCATGACCCCAAACCCCCGAGGGACCCCCCAGCCGAGGTTGTGACCCCCCCCCAAACGCCCCGAGGGAGCTCGATGTCCAGGAGTGTGACACCCCCACCCCAAAACGGGGGCCGAGGAGGCCTGGGACCCTCCCCCACCCACCCCCAACCATCCGTCACCCTCCCCACCTTCACCCCCCAACCCCCACCGGCGACATTGGGGTCCCCTCGCCCCCCCCGCAACCCCCCAAGAGCACGGGGACCTCCCCCCCGGGTTTTGGGGGTCCCTACCTTGGCGGAAGGCGTCCTGGAGGCGGCTCTGGGGGAGTTGATACAACTCAGCGAAGGGGTCGCGGGGCGACCGGGGCGGGGGGGGCGGGCGGGGGCTGGGGGTGCCCCCCGAGCGCCGGGGACCCCCCCGGCTGACGGCGGCGGCGGCGGCCAAGCCCTGGAGCAGCCGGCGCAGGGCCGGGCCGGGGGGCGCGGGCGGGGGGGGCGGCGGCGACGTCTCGGGGGTGAGGAGGAGGGAGCCGGGGGGGCCCCCCGGGACACCCCCCCCGCCGCCCCCGGGGCTCTCGGGGCTCGGCGGCAGCTTCTCGGGCGCGGCCTCGGGGGGCTCCGGGGGCCCGAAGGCGAAGGGCGGGGCCTGCCGGGGGGTGTAGGGGGGGGTCCAGGTCTCGGCGGCCCCCCCGGGTGTCTCGGGGACCCCCAGGCCCGGCGCCAGGCGGACGCCGGGGCCCAGGTTGGCGCCGAGGGCGAGGCCGGTGCCCAGGGCGGTGCCGACGTTGGCGCCGAGGCCGAGGCCGGGTCCGAGGGTCGGGTCGACGCCGGGGCCGAGGGCGAGGGTGGAACCGAGGGCGGAGGCTCCGACGGCGGCTCCGGCACCGAGTCCGAGGGCGGATCCGACGCCGGACCCGACGTTGGCTCCGATGCCGAGTCCGAGGGCGGATCTGACGCCGGACTCAATGTTGGCTCCGAGTCCGATGCCGGCGTCGCCAAGAGCGGAGTCGACGCCGGCACCGACGTCGGGTCCGAGCCCGGAGCAAACGTTGGCTCCGAGTGCGGCTCCAACGGCAAATCCAAGGGTAGATCCGAGCCCGGAGCCGCCGGCGGCTCCAGCGGTGAGTCCGACACCGGCACCGACGTCCGATGTGGGGGCGGAGCCGATGGTGGAGCCCACGTTGGCTCCGAGGCCGAGCCCGACGGCGGGGCCGACGTCGGATGTGATTGTAGCACCAACGGTGGCTCCGACGCCAAGTCCAATGTCCAGATCGGATCCAAGAGCAGCACCAATGGCTCCGACGGCAAGTCCAACACCAGATCCAAGACTGGAGCCAACACCAGCTCCAACAGCAAGTCCAACACCGGATCCAAGATTGGAGCCAACGCCGGCTCCAACAGCAAGTCCAACACCGGATCCAAGACCAGAGCCAACATTGGCTCCAACGGCAGCTCCGACGGCAAGTCCAACTCCAGGCCCAACACCGGATGGAAGAGTGGAGGCAACGTTGGCTCCAAGAGCAGCTCCAAGGCCGAGTCCAACCCCGGAGCTGGCGCTGGCTCCAATGTTGGCGCCGAGGCCGAGTCCAACCCCAGCACCGACTCCGGCTCCGGCGCTGGCACCGACGGCGAGTCCTACGCCGGCGCCGACATCGGAGGGCAGGGCGGGGCCAACGGCCCCGATGCCGAGCCCGACGCTGGCTCTGACGCCGCCCCCAAGGCCGGGCCCGATGTTGGCCCCGACGCTGAGCGTGACGCCGGCTCCGATGCCGGGCCCGACCTCTGCAGCGCTGGTGACTTGGAGTGGGGTTCCGACGTCATCTCCGGCACCGGCTCCGAGGGCTCCAATATCAGCCCCGAGGGCAGGGCCGACGTCGGCGCCGGCAGCGACCCCGAGGCCGACGTCCACTCTGATGCCGGTTCCCACGCCGAGGCCGACGCTGGCGCTGACATCAGAGCTGAGACTGTGTCCGACAGCGTCTCCAAGACTGTGCCCAGTGGTTGATCCGACACCGGCCCCAAGCCCGGGGTCAACATTGGCCCCGGCGTTGCCTCTGAGGCCGTGTCCAATGGTGGATCCAAGCCCAGGTCCCATGTTGGCTCCGAGACCGGGCCCAACACCAGCTCCAAGCCCGGGATCCACGTTGGCTCCAAGAGCAGCTCCGAGGCCGTGTCCGACGTCGGCTCCGAGGCCACACCCAACGCTGACCCCGAGGCCGAGGCCGACGTTCGCTCCGACGTCGTCTCCGAGCCCGGATCCCACACCGAGGTCGACGCCGGATCCGATGCCAGGCCCGGTGCCGAGGTCCCCGCCCGCTCCGACGTCGGCACCGGGGAAGTCGAGGCCGGGGCCGAAGGGCTCGGGGGGTCCCGGGGGGGCCTCGGCCGCCAGTTGCTGCCGCAGACACCAGGCCTCGGCCTCGCTGCGGGACAGACGGGGGGTCACGGGGGGGTCTGGGACACCCGGACAGCGGGGGCCACCCCGGGGGGGCCGTGACCCCCCCTCAGGCACCTTGGGTCCAGCACTGACCTGATGACGAAGTTGTGGGCGAGCAGGGCCGGGCCCTCGGGGCGCAGGCGGGTGTAGACCCACGTCCAGCCCAGCCCGTCCTTGCGCTGCAGCCGCGTCACCAGCTCCCCCCGCGCCTCCGGCCCCGCGCCGGCTGTGGGGACACCGGGACGTCAGAGGGGACAGGGGGACAACCAGTGGGGACACCGGGACACCAGCGGGGACAGGGGGACACCAGCGGGGACAGAGGATGCCAGCAGGGACAGGGGGACACCAGCGGGGACAGGGGGACACCGGCAGGGACAGGGGGACACCAGCGGGGACACGAGGGTGGGGGGAAAATGGGGACACGGCGATGCCAAGGGGAGTGGGGGACTGGGGAGGAATTGGGGCTGGGGGACGTTTGGGACATTCCTGGGGTTGATTGGAGGAGTTGCGGCCATGGAGACATCAATGGGGGCGTCAGTGGGGTCTGTTGGGGGTTTGGGGGACACGAGGACATCAGTGGGGTCGGTTGGGGGACTGGGGACCTCAATGGAGACGAGGCATCAACAGGGGCGTGAAGGACACGCCGGGGGCTCCCGGAAGGAGACCCGGTGACTCCAGGGGACGTGTGGGACACCGAGGACATTGGGGGCAGCAGAGGGACAGCAGGGGACACGCAGAGGGCTGGGGGACCCCCTTGGGGACGTGGGGAGTCAGGGGACAGGGAGGTCCCAAGGGACAGACAGGGTGGGGACAGGGAGGAACCAGAGGACCTTGGGGACAGCTGAGGGGACACAGGGAGGTGCCAGGGGACCCTGGGGACGGTGAGGGGACACCCACCGAGGCGCAGGTGCTGGCGGGCGACGTGGCCGAGGTCCTCGGGGTGCAGGAGGCGGTACCAGGAGCGGCCCAGGAGCTCCCCCCGCCCGTATCCCAGATGGATCAGGACACTGCGGGAAAACACGGCCGGGTCCCTCAGCCACCAAACCGGGGTCACCCGAGGTCACCCGGATCCCCCCCGGACACCCGGGTCCTTCTGGATCCCTGGATCCTCTCGGACACCCGGATCCCTCCCCGGACACCTGGGTCCTTCTGGATCCCTGGATCCTCTCGGACACCCGGATCCCTCCCCAGACACCCGGGTACCCCTGGAAATCTGGGTCCTCCTGGATCCCCCCGGAAATCTGGGTCCCCTTGGTCACTCGGCTCCTCCTGGAGACCTGAATCCCCCTGGATATCCACCCGTGTCCTTCAAGGACACCTGGATCCCCTTGGCCACCGGGATTCCCCCAGACTCCTGGATCCCCCTGGATCCCCCTGGATCCCCTCAGACTCCTGGATCCCCTCAGTCACCCGGATCCCCCTGGACCCCCCCGTGTGCCCCCGTCCCCCACGTTGTCCTCCCTCACCTGTCGGAGACGTCGAGCAGGGCGAGGTCCCGGGCGTGGCGGCTCTGGAAGGCGGGCAGGAGGAGGCAGTCGGGGCAGGGCCAGGGCGGGGGGTCAAGGGGGGCACAGAAGGCGACAAAGAGCCCCGGGGAGGCTCCGGGGGGTCCGGGGGGAGCCTGGAAGCGGCCCCGGAGCAGGACGAGCTTCCGGCCGGCGCTGGGCCGGCGCGAGGCGCGGGAGGTGGTGAAACGGCAGCGGAACAGGCGCTCTGGGGGAGGGGGGGCCGTCGGTCCCTCTGTGCTTCCAAACCACCCCTCTCCCCGTCCTTCCATCCCTCCTTCCCTCCCTCCGTCCCTCTGTCCTTCCATCCCTCCGACCGCCCGTCTCCCCATCCTTCTGTCCTTCTCTCCCTCTCTCCTTCTATCCCTCCCTCCATCTCTCTCGCCTTCCCTCTTTCCAACCCTCTCCTCCCATCCATCCTTCCCCTCTTCCATCTCTCCTTTCCTCCCTCCTTCCTTCCTGCCTTCCAACCCTCTCTCCTTCCCTCCCTCCCTTCGTTCTTCCACCATCCCTCCGTTCTTCCCTCCCTCCATCCCTCTCCTCCCACCTCTCCGTCCCTCTCTCAGTCTCTCCGTCCTTCCGTCCATCCCTCCAACCCTCCCTTCCTTCATCCAACCCTCTCTCCTCCTGTCCCTCCAACCCTCTCTTCTCCCACCTCTCCATCCCTCTGTCCTCCCATCTCTCCGTCCTTCCCTCCGTCCCTCCCTCCCCTCCCCTCCCCCTCGGAGCCCCCACCCACCTGCCTGGGGGGGCCCGGGCAGGGTGAGCTGGTGTCGCACCAGGGGGTGGTCGGCGGGGTCCAGCAGGTCGTAGATGCTGTCCCCTTGTGCCACCAGGTCCACCTGCACGGGGGGGGGGACACAGAGGGGTCAGCACCCGGCACCCCCCGAGACTCCCCAGGACCCCCCCAGGACTCCCCCCAGCACCGTTGTCCTGCACCCCCAGTCCATGGGGAAGGGGCAGAGGGTGAGGACTCAGCACCCCTCAGGACCCCCAGAACCCCTCGTTCTGCACCCCCAGGACCACCCCCACGGGCTGAGACCCAGGACCCCCCAGCACCCCCCAGCACCCGGGACCCCTCTCCCTGCAGCACCAGGACGACCCCCCTGGGGGGAGGCTCAGCCCCCAGCCCCCCCCCAGCCCCCAGGACCCCCCGGGCGAGGCCCTGAACCCCCCCCCCCCGGCGCTCACCATGGAGTGCCCCAGGTGCTGGGCCACGTTGTCGGTGACTCCCACCAGCTTCCCCTCGCGGGTCACGGCCAGCAGGAACCCGGGCAGCGATGCCACCAGGTCGGCCAGTTCCGGCCCCCCCAGCAGCTCCATGGGCGCTCCCCGCGTCGGGCCTGTGTGGGGACACGTGGGGACACGGGTCAGCGCCCACCCGGCGCCCGCTGGCACCCATTGGAACTCACCCCCTTCCTGCACCGGCCCCGGTACCCGAATCGTCACCTGTGGGGTCTCTGGTGGCACCCGGAGCCCGTCCCATGTGGACCCAGGGGTGGCCCCGGTCCGGCTCTGGTCCCTGTCCCCGTCCCTCGTCTCCAGCCCCAGCCCTGGGCCCCGTCCCGGTCCTTGTCCCGGTTCCTGACCCCCTTCCGGCCCTGTCATCGGTCTCGGTCCCTGTCCCGGGTCCTGATGCTGATCCCCTCTCCCGGTTCCTGTCCCTGCCTCCCCGTGTCAGCCCCGATCCAGTCTCGGTCCCTGTCCCTGTCCCGATCCTGATCCCTGAGCCCGGTCCCTGTTCCGCTGTCCCAGCCCTGATCCCGGTTCCCGACCCCGATCCCCGTCCCTGTCCCTTGTCCCAGCCCCAGTCCTCACTCCCTGTCCCTGGTCTCGGTCCCTGTCCCGGTCCCCCTGTCTCAGATTCGAACCCGGCTCCCCATCCGGTCCCGGTCCCAGTCGCGGTTCCCCGTCCCTGTCACTGGTCTCGATCCCAGCCCCGATCCCGATCCCGGGTCCCGATCCTGTCGCGATTCCTCTTCCGTCCCCCGCCCGGTCCCGCTCCCTGTCTGCGGTGCTGAACCGGCTCCTCCCGCAGCCGCCGCCGCCGCTGAGCCCTCCCCGGTCCCCTCCCCGGTCCCCTCCCTGGTCCCGGTCCCGGTCCCGGTCCCTGTCCGCGGTGCTGAGCCCTCCTCGAGCCTGTCCCTGTCCCCGCTGCCTTTCCCGGTCCCAGTCCCCGTCCCTGTCCCTGTCCGCGGTGCTGATCCCGTCCCTGTCCCCGGTCCTGTCCTAGTCCCTGTGCCCGGTCCCTGTCCCGGTCCCGCTGCCTTTCCCGGTCCCAGTCCCCGTCCCTGTCCCCGTCCGCGGTGCTGATCCCGGTCCCAGTCCCCGTCCCCGTCCGCGGTGCTGATCCCGTCCCTGTCCCCGTCCCTGTCCCCGTCCCCGTCCCCGTCCGCGGTGCTGATCCCGTCCCTATCCCCGTCCGCGGTGCTGATCCCGTCCCTATCCCTGTCCGCGGTGCTGATCCCGTCCCTATCCCTGTCCGCGGTGCTGATCCCGTCCCCGTCCCCGTCCCTGTCGCGGTCCCGCTGCCGTTGTTCCCATCCCGCTTCTCCTCCCGTTCCCGCTGCTCAGCCCAGTCCCCGCTCCCGACAGCGGTTCCCGTTCCCAGCCTGACGCTGCTGCCATCCCGGTGCCGTTCCCGGTTCTATCCTGGCGTCCGTACCCCTTCCCAGCCCAGCCCAATACCCGCTCCCAGTCCCATCCTGATGCCATCCCGGGGCCCATCCCGGTCCCATTTCCATCCCGGTGCCATCCCCGGTCCCTTATCGGTCCCCAGTTCCATCCCGGTGCCATCCCCGGTCCCATCCAGATACCCAGCCCCATTCCCGCTCCCAGTCCCACCCCAGCCCCATTCCCGCTCCCAGTCCCATCCCAGCCCCATCCCCGCTCCCAGCCCCATTTCAGCCCCAGCTCTGCTCCCATCCCGTCTCCCGCTCCCATCCCAGTCCCACCACATCCCCTCTCCCAGTCCCATTCCCGCTCCCATCCCCTCTCCCGCTCCCATCCCCTCTCCCCGTCCCTCCGGAGCCCACCTGGCCGCAGACAGGCTCCCTTGCGGGTGTAGATGCAGGCGAGGGCCATGACGTGCAGGTAGGAGAGGCGCGGCCGGTCGCCCTCGGGCAGCGGGAGGAGGTCGCGCAGGGCGCGGATCTGGGCGTTGATCTGGTCCCGGCGCGCCTTGGAGGCGCCTTTGGTGGAGCGGAGCATCCTCCGCCCGCGCCGCCGCCCGCCCGCCGCCTTTATGGGCCCCGCGGCCCCGCGTCAGCGGCCGCGTCACCGGCCCCGCGCCGCCCCCCGCGCACGGGGGGGGGGGGGGGGGTGGGCCACGGGGACGACAAAGGGGAGGGGGTGGGTGGTCGCGTCATCGGTGACGCTGACGCACGAAAAACGGGGGGGGGGGCGCGGTGGGCGGCGTTGCGCGCGGCGGCCTTCGCACCGCATAGGGATGGAGCCGGTGCGGGGCGGGGTGTTGGGGGGGGGGGGTGGTGGGCTTTTTGGGGAGGGGTGTGTGGGTGTGCGGATTGGATTATTTGGGGGGGGGGGGGGGGGATTTGGGGAGGGGAGGGGTTGGGGACCGCCCACTCGTGGTGGGGTGGGTGTGTGTATGGAAGGTGTTAGTTATTAAAAAAGGGGTGGGGGGTGGGGGGGAGTCGGCGGGGGGGAGTTCGGGGGGGGAGGGATGGTTGAGGGGGTCGGTGGGGGTGGGGGAGTCAACGGGGGGTCAACAGAGGGATGGAGGGGCCAAGAGAGGGAGGGAGAGGGTCGACGGAGGGGTGGGGGGTCAATGGAGGGGTGGGGGGTCAACGGGGGGGCAGCGGAAGGGTGGGGGGTGAGTTCGGGGGGAGGGATGGTTGGGGAGGGTCAATGAGAGGGGGGGGAGTCAACGGGGGGTCAACACAGAGATGGGGGGGTCAATGAGGGGCCAATGGGGGGATGGAGGGGCCAAGGGATGGAGGGAGAGGGTCGATGGAGGGATGGGGGTCAATGGAGGGATGGGGGGGTCAACGGGGGGTGGCGGAGGGGGGGGAGGGTCAACGGGGGGTCGGGGAGTCAATGGGGGGTCAACGGGGAGATGGAGGGGACAAGGGGGGGATGGAGGGGCTCAAGGGAGGGAGGGGCCGAGGGAGAGGGTCAGTGGGAGAGGGAGGGGTCAAGGGAGGGAGGGAGGGATGGAGGGAGGGGTGGAGGGGTCAACAGGGGGATGGAGGGGGTCAAGGGGGGGGGAGGAGCCACTGGGGAGTCAACGGAGAGATGGAGGAGCTGGAGGGGTGGAAGGAGGGATGGAGGGGCAACGGGGGGATGGAGGGGGGAAGGGGGGATGGAGGGGCAATGGGGGGGAGGAGGGCAATGGGTGGAAGGAGGGATGGAGGGGCAACGGGGGGATGGAGGGGGGAAGGGGGGATGGAGGGGCAATGGGGGGATGGGGATGGAGGGGCAATGGGGGGATGGAGGGGACAATGGGGGGGATTTGAGGAAGTCAACGGGGGATGGCGGGGGGAAGGGGGATGGAGGGGGCGGGCAATGGGGGGGGGGATGGAGGGCAAATGGGGGGGGTGGAGGAGTCAACGGGGGGAGACGGAGGGGGGAAGGGCGGGGGATGGAGGCAGGCAATGGGGGATGGAGGGGGAAAGGGGGGGATGGAGGGGCCCTGAGGGGAATGGAGGGGGGAGGGAAGGGGGGGATGGACGGGGGAAAGAGGGGTAGGAGAATGTGGGGTCAAATGGGGGGGGGATGGAGGGGCCATGGGTGGCGGATGGGGATTGAGGGGAAGGGGATGAGGGGGGATGGAGGGGGGAAGGGGGGGATGGAGGGGGCAGCAGAGGGATGAAGGAGTCGGGGGGGGGATGGAGGGGGAAGGGGGATGGAGGGGCAATTGGGGGATGGAAGGGGGGAAGGGGGGTGAGTCTGGGGGGGATGGAGGGGGCAGCAGAGGGATGAAGGAGTCGGGGGGGGGATGGAGGGGCCTTTTGGGGTCTGGGGGGTCTCCAAGTGGGGAGAGAAGGACGGGGGGGGTCAACGGAGGGATGGTGGTTGGTCAGTGGGGGGAGAGGGGGGGCGGTGGATGGAAAGGGGTGTGGAGGGGGGTCCGGGGGGGTCAGTGGGGGTCCGGGGGGGTCAACTGGGGATGTGGGGGGGGTCCGGGGGGTCCGGGGGGGCTCCAGGGCCGGGCGGGCGATGAACAAACCAACGGTGGGGCAGAGAAGCCAAGGGGGGGTTTGGGGGGGTCTGAGGGGCGCGGGGGGGCCAAGGGGGGCTCCGGGGGGGGGAAGATGGGTAGGGGGGTCAGCAGAGGCACGGGGAGACGGACTGGGGGGGCCATTGTGGGGCCGGGGGTGAGGGGGGGCCGGGGGGGTTTCCATGGGGCGGCCCCTCCGCGAGGGGGACCCGCTGGGGGGGAGGGGGAGCGTCTGGGACCCCCCCCCCCCCCCTCCAGGCCTTTGGGAACCCCCTTCTCCCCCTCCATCATCCCCCCCTTTTCGGGCCGCCCCGGATTGGCCTCCGCACCCCCCCAGCGGGTCCCCTACACCCTACCGGCTCCGCCGCTGCCAAATTGGGAGCCGAAGCGCTGAGCCAAAAATAGCGACTGGGGGGCAAAAAACACCGCGCGGGGGCGGGGCCGGCGCGGCCAAACGGGGGGCTAAGGGGGGGCTCGGGGGGGGGGCTTCGGACCCCCGGGGCCTTCGTGATGGGGGGGACCCCCGGAGGGGGGGTTTGGGGGGTTTCGGGGGGGGCTGGAGTGGGGGGGAAACAACCCCGAGCGTTGGGGTCTCCTTGGCAGCGGGGGGGGGACGATTCGGGGGCGGGAAAGGGGGAGGCGACGCCGCTGGGGTCCCCCGAAGCTCTGGGTCCACCCCCCCCCCCGAATTCCTGGGTCCATCTCCGGGTGCCCCCAAATTCCTGGATCCCCCCCACCCCAACCCCCCCGAGCCCTCCCCAAATTCTTGGGGGTTCCCCCCCAAACCCCCCGGTCCCCTCTCCCCCCCCCCTCCCCAAATTCCTGGGTTCCCCTCGAACCTCCGGGTGCCCCCCGAATTCCCGGGTGTCCCCCCCCGCCCCCCCCGAATTCCTGGATCCCCCCAAATTCCTGGGGGGCCCTCCCCAAACCCGGGTCCCCCCCCCGGAACCCCCCGGGGCCCCTCAAATTCCTGGGTGTGTCCCCCTCCCAAAAAATCTCGGGTCCCCCTCAACCTCCGAGTCCCCCCCCCCCTCCCCAAATTCCTGCCCCCCCTCCCCAAATTCCTGGGGGTCCCCCCGAGCCCCCGCGGCCGCTGGGGGCGCGTTTCCATGGCAACGGGGGAGCCGCGATATTTTGGGGGGTGGGGGAGGGGTCGGGGAAGACCCCGGAGCCGGGGGGGGGAGGGAGGAGGATGAGGATGAGGAGGGATCAGGGAGGGGATGAAGGAGGAGGAGGAGGGAGCCAGAAGGGGATGAAGGGCGAGGATGGAGAGGAAGGATGAGGATGAGGAGGGAGCCAGGAAAGGTGAAGGAGGAGGAGGGAGAGGGAGGATGAGGAGGAGGATGAAGGAGGATGAGGATGAGGAGGGATCCAGGAGGGGATGAAGGGGGAGGAGGATGAGGAGGGATCAGGGAGGGGATGAAGGAGCAGGATGGAGAGGGAGAAGGAGGATGAGGAGGGAGCCAGGGGGGGATGAAGGAGGAGGAGGAGGATGGAGAGGAAGGAGCAGGGAGGAGGATGAGGAGGGATCCAGGAGGGGATGAAGGAGGATGAGGATGAAGAGGGATGAAGGACGATGGGGAAGGAGGATGAGGATGAGGAGGGATCCAGGAGGGGATGAAGGAGGATGAGGAGGATGGAGAGGATGAGGAGGAGGATGAAGGAGGATGAGGATGAGGAGGGAGCCAGGAGGGGATGAAGGAGGATGAGGATGAAGAGGGAGGGGATGAAGGACGATGGGGAAGGAGGATGAGGATGAGGAGGGATCCAGGAGGGGTGAAGGAGGATGAGGAGGGAGGAAGGGGGAGTGAGGATGATGAAGGTGGAGCGGGGAAGGACGCGGATGAGGATGGAGAGGGAGGATGAGGAAGGCGAAAGGTGGATGAAGGTGATGGGGAATGAAGGGGGGTGAGGATGAGGAGGGAGGAAGGAGATGGAGGAGGAAGACGATGGGGAGGAAGGGGATGAAGATGGAGGAGGATGAGGAGGAAGGGGATGAAGATGAGGATGAGGAGGAAGGGGATGAAGATGAGGATGAGGAGGAAGGGGATGAAGATGAGGATGAGGAGGAAGGGGCTGAAGATGAGGAGGATGAGGAGGAAGGGGCTGAAGATGAGGAGGATGAGGAGGAAGGGGTTGAAGATGGAGGAGGAGGAAGATGGAAGGAAGGGGATGAAGATGAGGAGGATGAGGAGGAAGGGGATGAAGATGAGGATGAGGAGGAAGGGGATGAAGATGAGGAGGATGAGGAGGAAGGGGACGAAGATGGAGGAGGATGAGGAGGAAAGGGATGAAGATGAGGATGAGGAGGAAAGGGATGAAGATGAGGAGGATGAGGAGGAAGGGGGGGGACACAGAGAGAGGGGCAGGAGGGGTCACCAACCGTCACCATGGAAACGCCCCCCCCCCCACACATCACCCTGGGGGGGAACAAGGACAACCCCCCCCCCCAAAAAAAAGGGGACCCCCCGAAACAGGCCCTTTATCCCCCCAAAAAAAGACAACAGGAGGGACCCCCCCCCCCCACAAAAAGGGGACCCTTAAACCAACCCAGAAAAAGAAATAGGGGCGGCCAACCTAAAAAAAGGAGTACCATCACCCAGGCCCCCCCCCCCAAAAAAAAAAGGGGTCCCAGGTGTCCAGAACACCCCCCCAAAAAGAGACCCAGGTGTTTGGGAGACCCCCCCCCCAAAATAAAGGACCCCCAACACGAGACCCCCCAAACAAGGGACCCCCAACATGAGACCCCCCCCCAAAATAAAGGACCCCCAACAC